ATTCTTATGCGTGAGCTATAGCATTTCTATCTTTTGATTGTTCTTTATGGTGTTTGGGATGTGGGTTTGGAATTTGGTTTTACGTCGTAGGCTTTGAGCTCTTTATCCTTGGATTTTTCATTCTAGCATTTAGGCATTGGATTGTAGCGTATAGGCTTTGTGCTCTATAGAAAACCTATGTTAGGAGATCTCTACATGATGCATAACTTTGCAACATAGCACTATGGTGTTGCATAGTGGCTCTGAAGCTCTTCAACATGGAACCTAAGCTCTGCGACAGCGACACTTAGGATCTGTAACATGCCGCCTAGGCTCTTCTACAAAATCTGTCATTTTTTTTTTTTACAACCGAGTGCCCTGTAGGATTTCTAAATGACACAAAATAAAAACAGTATAAAAACATGCAATGACATAACATTTATGTACAAATACACTATTGCATTTACATGCTTTTAACACTTAACTTTAAAGAAAATTAAAATTAATCCCACTTAACATGAATAAACCTCTCTCAACACCTCTTTAGATGATTTATTAATTAATTAAGTTTAAATTCATAGAATATGACCCCAATTGAGTTTTAATCTTCAAATAAAAGTGTCTCATTTAAGTTCATATGAATCATTTTAATTTAGATAAAATCCAAACACAATCAAATCAAATCTCTATATAATAGAAACCCTTGTCAATTTACCTAGGCCCATTCTTTAAACATCATACAAAGGTATGTAAAAAAGTAGAGTTTGAGCAAGCTCAAGCTTGGCTCTTATTTGGCTCATTCAAAATTAATTCTATTTGAAATTAGCTCATGTTCAAAATTCCTTGTGAATAGTGTGTGCATGTTTGGCTCGATTTACATATTCTTGTCTGATTTTGTCTCTTGCTCAACTAAAAATTTGCTTATTTAAATTAATTTTAAATATAGATGCAGGGTATTGGATTCAAACTTGCACCATTTATATAAAATAAAATGCACATAACCATATGATTGTATGAACCATACTAATTTAAACTTTTAGATTAATATATATATATATAT